AAAATGGGAAATACAAAGAAATAAACCCTATGACTAAAATACCCCAAAATACAAGGGTAAAATTGGAATAAACCAAATAAATCCTACACTACTCAAAATTAGTCATAGCATTGGACCATGTGATGGGTTTCACATGAAGTACCATGGATGGTCCTCCATCATAAATTGTATATATTATTAACTAAAAATTAAAATATTGATTACAAACAATAAAGAAATCTTGTCAAAAAAAGGTTGTTAAAAATAAAAAATAAAAAAGTATATTTAGACATGATTTAAGAATATTAAACTACCTTGAAAATGTTTAATAACTAATTCGCAACTATTATATATATATATATATATTAAATGTAAAAAAATACATTTAGTTATAACTTGTAAACTTGTATATAATTATGTTAGTGTAAAATAGTAACTCCCGTATATATTAAGGACATTTGTGAAATTTTATATAAATATTTAACTTTTCTTATATTTATATATTAATATAACTATATAATATTTTTATACGATTTAACGGCCATGTATTATTAATGTAAAAAAAATTATATTATTGGTCAACAAAAAATATTTGTTAGAATGAATTGGAAAATAATATTTATAAAAGACATCAAATTTATTATATATTATTATTTGTGAGTAGAGATATCAATGAAAAACTTTTTATAAAGTATAATAATTAATAAATTTATCACCCTTCTTTTTTCTAACAACATTTGTGATTGGTTTACATTAACGGTACATTGTGTCTGTTTGTCTCTCTCTTATATATATATATATATTCAATGCAACCCTACAAGTTTATAATGGAAGAATATAAAGATTCAATACATAGTGTACTATTTTGTATTTTTTTTTTGTATTTTTGCTATGCACAAAATAAAAAAACATAGATACACGTATCTATATTTATATTTATTATAAAAAAAATTATACAATGAATAATATTTTTATCTCTATTTTTAGTGAATTATTATATTTTCATTTATTAAAAAATTAAAATAAAATAATTGTTTATATTTTTTTAATTAATTATTCATAATTATTCATTTATTTTATCTTTCTTTTATTTTATTTATAATTTTTTAAAATTTAAGAGATACAAAACACATCTTTTTCTTTTCAGTAGTAATAATATCCCACATGTCGTTGGAGAGAAAAAACGAGTCTAACAAATACGATAAAAGTTAGGATGGATTAACTTTCATCAACTTTGAGGAGCAGATTTAAAGACGGGAGCATGCAAGCGTTTCTCCACCCTCCTAAACTATAAACTATATAACAATTTTAACTATCAACATTTTCTAATGAAGTTTAAATAAAAAATATTTATTTAAATAAAGATATCAATATACTCTAATATTTATATATTCATAATATAAAATAAATATATAAATAATAATAATATTTTAATTTTGAAAAAGATTTAAAAAGGTTGGACTTGTGTTGTTTGTTTATAAGGAAAAAGTTAAATAGACGAGAAAAGAAAGTGGAATATAAATAGTAATAATGAATAGGTGCATGATGCATGCATGGGCGCAAGAAGAAAGGCGCTTGAAATGGAGATGACAGGGTGAAGGATGGACGAAATGAATGGGAAGCATTGGAAGGAAAGAGTTTACTATTGTTAGAATGGAGTGGTAATTGTGGAAGCTCCAACCCTCAAACACGAGAACCTAGCTACCTCCCCCATTTTCCTTTCAATCCAACAAAACAAAAAAAGGCAAATTCATAGATTCAGATAGACAACCTCCGAGCAGCGGTCCATTTCTCTCCCGGACGCATAAGATCTCCGGCTCGGCGATGGCCGCTGTTCGCCCATTCCTCCTCCTCCTCCTCCTCCTCCTCCTCCCACTCTCCCTATCCCTCCCTGAAAACGAAGCCCTCCTCGCCCTCAAAAACTCCTTCTCCGACCCCCAACGCCTCTCGTCTTGGCTCCCCAACCAGAACCCCTGCACCGCCAAGTGGGTCGGCATCATTTGCTTCAACAACATCATCACCAGCATCCACCTTGTTGACATGGGCCTCTCTGGCCCAATCAACGTGGACCCCCTCCTCAACATCCCCTCCCTCCGCTCCGTTAGCTTCATCAGCAATAACTTCTCCGGCCCAATCCCTCCCTTCAACAAACTTGGTGCCCTCAAGGCCCTTTACATAGCTCGAAACCAATTCTCCGGCCCAATCCCCCCTGACTTTTTCTCCAGCTTAGCCTCCCTAAAAAAAGTATGGATCTCTGACAACAAATTCTCCGGCACCATCCCCAACTCCCTAACCACCCTCCGCTTCCTCACCGAACTCCACCTCGAAAACAACCAATTCTCCGGCCCCATCCCCGAATTCAAACAAGACATCAAATCCATAGACATGTCCAACAACATTCTCCAAGGCCAAATCCCCGCCACCATGCAACACTTCGACGTCAAATCATTCTCCAACAATAAAGCCCTTTGCGGAAAGCCTCTCCCCAAAGAGTGTGAAGCACCAAGCAACAACTCACAAGGCTCTGGCTGGGGGATGAAGGTTGTTATACTTGTTGTTCTAGCTGTCCTCGTGGCGGTCATTTTCCTCTTGGTGAAGTCCAAGCGTCGTCGTGACGATGACTTTAGCGTCATGAGTAGGGAGCAGCCAGAGGAGGTGGTGCAGGTGCACGTGCCTAGCTCTAACCACTCTAGGGGTGGCTCTGAGGGGGGCAGTAGGAAGGAGTCATCCAAGAAAGGCTCATCTCGTGGCGGCATGGGGGACCTTGTGATGGTCAACGATGAGAAGGGCGTGTTTGGTTTGCCCGATTTGATGAAGGCTGCGGCAGAGGTTCTAGGCAACGGTGGGTTGGGCTCAGCGTACAAGGCTGCCATGGCGAATGGCTTGTCGGTGGTGGTCAAGCGAATGCGAGAGATGAATAAAGTCAGTAGAGACATATTCGACGCCGAGATGAGACGCTTTGGAAGACTTAGAAATCCTAACATTTTGACTCCTTTGGCTTACCATTACCGTAGGGAGGAAAAGTTGTTCGTCACCGAGTACATGCCCAAAGGAAGCTTGTTATATGTGTTGCATGGTAAGTATATATATTGTATAAGATTCCATGCATGTGCATGCATGCAAGGTGATATTGATATACAATTATAATTATTGTGTGTTTTGATTAGGTGATAGAGGATCCAGTCATGCTGAGCTGAACTGGCCAATCCGTTTGAATATTGTGAAAGGAATTGCACGAGGGTTGGGATTTATCTACACAGAATTCTCGAGCGAAGAGCTACCACATGGAAACTTGAAATCTAGCAATGTATTACTAGGTGAAAACTACGAGGCTTTCCTAGGGGACTTCGCCTTTCACCCATTAATAAACCCCAACTACGCTGTACAAACAATGTTCGCCTACAAAACACCTGATTATGTGACGTATCAACGTGTTTCACAGAAGACCGATGTTTACTGCCTTGGGATCATCATCCTCGAAATCATCACCGGGAAGTTCCCTTCTCAATATCACAGCAACGGTAAGGGTGGGACCGACGTGGTGCAGTGGGTGTTCTCTGCGATTTCTGAGAGAAGAGAGGCAGAATGCATTGATCCAGAGTTGAAAACCAATCACTCCAACTCCATCAATCAAATGCTGCAACTTCTCCAAGTGGGGGCTGCTTGCACAGAGAGCAACCCCGACCAACGACTTAACATGAAGGAAGCCATTAGAAGGATAGAAGAGGTTCAAGTTTAAAAGCTCTTGTGTCAATATTCTAGCTTAGTACAAAGATGCTTTTGTAGGCCTAGGATTAATGCATTCTACACATGAGGCAAGAGATCAAGAGTATTTGGAGGGAAAAATAGAGGCAAAATTAAGGGGAGAAAAACCAGATGCATGCATGGCTTTATGGATCACTTTGGTTAGTAAGAAGAATGGTGACATGTTGTTTCAAGAACTTGGAGTAGTACTTTTTCCCTATTGTTGGTCCTTCTAAAGAAAGATAAATGTTAAAGTACCTCCAACCTAACTTCACAAATTAATGTGCCTCTTTCTGCTCGTAACAACTACCCTTGTAAATTATGTGCAATTCTTAATTGTAAGATGAAACCATTTTTGAGACAACCTATCCCCTAATTTTATGACTAACAAGTTTGTACCCTGGGTTTACCCATTTTCCCTTTTATTCCTATCAAATCAAAGGTTTTGCTTTTGATTTCTCCTTCCTCTTCCCCTTTTATATTCTTTTTGTAGAATTTTTTTCTTTTAAGTTAGCTAATACAAGTTTGTATGAGAAATACCTAACATCTTCCTATGTTTTTCTCTCTTTATTTTTTGTTTGCTTAATTTGTCATGCCATTTTTTGACATTAATGGTATGCTTAATAAAACCAGCAAGTAACCTAAGTTTAAAAGCTACTTATAATCTGAAATATGATGAAATAACAAGGTAACTTATTTGTTAATTGTGAAACATTGAAATTTAATGACTATAGATGCTAATAAACAACATGCATGTGACCATGGCCCAGAACAACACCTCGTTCAAGCTAATATTGATTAACTTATTTATTTATTTTTTACTACACTATATATCTCCCAAAAAAATTTAATATCATGCAATATGTACACGCTGGTTTGATTTGATTTTAAAGGAATAAAAATCAAAGAGATATATGTTTTATGTAATGGAAGAAATATGTTTATCAAAGGGAAAGATAAAATGTCAACTATAACTCTATAAGTAAGACTAATTGAAGAGGTCAGTGATAAGATTTAACATAATCTATAAGTCGATCGATGATAGTTAACTAAAGTTATAAATATTAAGTTCAATTGTCGAATTTCTCCAACTCAATGTCAAGTGCCTAATATAAGTATACATAAACTTGTGTGTGAAAGGTATTCATGTATCCAACTATATATTGTTATATATAATACATTGTAGAAAGATCTAGATGGTATAAAGAAATTCAACAAGTCTGGAATTTGACTTTGGACAATATAAAAGTTTGTTACGATCAAGGTACAATAAATTTGTCAAAAATATAAATCAAGCCATACTATTCTCCTTAAAGTTTAACTAAGACTAGTCATGTTGTACAACATATGTTATGGACTTTGAACAATGACCCTACCTAACTAATATTTCATGAAATCAATTTAATCACCTATAACTTCATTAGTCCTTGTCTCTCTTCATTAATCCTACCATTTTGGTCTCTTGGTAGTTGTTTAAAGAATCATTTTTGATTCTTTATGCTCTAAACTTATTGATTGTAATTTTTGTACCGATTAAAATAAGTACATGTCAACCAAGCTCATACACATAGCAAATGTACATACCAAAACATCAATATATAATAAAAGATTTTTTTCACCAAAACATCAATATACAACAATAGTCTTTTTCCAATAGGCAGAACAAGTATAACTACACAAGATGTGTTTAATTATATATGTTTGAAACTATTGAAATATGTGCTTTTACTTCTCAATATGTGAAATACAAAAATAATAAAATTATTACTTTGAAGTTAAAATAAATTAAATTGAACTCAACTTTTATCTAAACACACATATGGACCATATTACCAAAAAATAAATAAATATAAAGATTAATTTTTTTTAAATATCTCTATATTATAATCTTTTTACTAGTCTCCTTTGGACTCTATTTATAACTATTCATGAATTATTTTTTTTATGTCATAAATGTTCATTATTAGTATTTTTCTAAATCTCCTCCACACATGTTGAAATCAACAAAGATAAAATTTCACTAAAAAAAAGTATGTAATTTCTAATAGTTAATATTACAATTTTAGCGATAAAAAACTGCTACAAATATCATTTTTTACAATTAAAATAATTGCTAGACTCACATAAGTCAAAAACTATTTTTAATATTTAATCACTGATGTTACTATAAAAAAGAGACGAAATTTGAAAAATATAAATCAACATCACAATTTTTAAAATAAAACAGAATTAAATTTGACTAAAATTTAAAAACAACATTTTAATAGTGACAATTTTGAATTCCCAATACATATAAATTAAAACCTCAAATATTACAAAGTTAACAATGCTAATTTAGTTGAACGAAAATTATAATATCGTATTAATTTTAAAAATCAAAGGACTAAATTAAAGATTATTATCATACATTATATGTATCTTCTATTTAAGTAATTTTATTCAAATTAAGTGAGACTCTTCCACTATGAAAGAGAATAAAATTTAGAGTTTTTATTAATAGAAAAATGAAATGAAATATAATTAAAATTTAAATGAAAAATAATTATTTTTAAGTTTTACTTGGCGGATGGTCCAACACGTGGCAGAGCTATTACGGGCTACGTCGAACTTTAAACTAGTTTTTACTTCAAAAATACTCTCTTCCTAGTTCCTAGTCACAACAACTCACGCAGTTTCAGATTAGATGAAAAGAAAAGTCTTAAATTCGTTAAATAGTAATTTAGAAGCTATCATGCACAAATTAAATAATTATTATATTTAAATATATGAACAATGATTAAAATTTTAAAAAATAAATATTTTTAAATGTATAATTTATATTTAAAATTTATAATAAGTAATTTATATCATTATATAAAGAAACGGGAAGAGAAAAAGAATATAAATGTTTAATTTAAGAGAAATAGAGAAGAGAAAAAATAATTTTAAATTAAATAATTGATTAAATATTTGTCAAGTGTTTCGTTACTCTTGACACTTACAGTGTCTTGAATACTAAACCAAAGAAATTTGGATTATCCTGGCTTCCTCCCCTCTCCTCCCTGATTTTGTACTGTTAGTAGCAGAATGTATCGAACGGCGGCGAAGCGGTTGTTCTTGCGTGCAAGGTACTATAATGGCAACGTTGCGCTCCGATTACGTCCTCAGCCTCAGATGTTGATACCTTCTTCTCGCTTTTCCACGTTCCTGACTCATCCACTTCACACTCGACACTATATCGATCCTTGCTTTCCCATCACCCTCTCTCAAAACCCTAACTATTCTTCATCTTCCTCTACCTCCACCGATGAGGATACCGGACCCAACTACGAGGACCAACAAGCTCGCGTGCTTCAGGCCTCGCTCCCTTACGTCGTTCGTATACTTTTCCTCTTCCTCTTCCTCTTCATTCTTTCCACTGCATCTTATAATTCAAATTTCTTTTCATCCTTAGCTGTTTCATTTTTTAAATTAAGGTTTTAGATTATTTTCCTTCTTTTTCTCCACCAAGAGGCTTTCATATTCCTAGAAGAATGGAAGTGGATTTTGTCGCCGTCGCCAGTTAGATCTTGAAAAAGAAAAATAGAGAACAGAAAAATAAACCAAACAGACACAGAAGGACGACGAAGGGTGATAGAAGCCAAATTAGGAGACAGAAAAGAGAAGAAAGAAAAGGGATAAAATAGGAAAAAGAAGGGGGAAATGGTAATAAAAAAAGAAAGAAGAAGAAGAAAGAAGAATAAATCTCAGCCATTAATCTAAAAAACCAAGATCAACTGTGGGAGACTTACTTCTCTTCCCACCTTAGCCTTCATCTTCATATTGCATGTCAGAATTCTACTGTTGTAACAATAAGTGATTATGATTTTGAAATTGTGGTTTTCAGATACAGCGGGGATGGACCGACAATGCGCTAATTGCAGGGGCAAGGGATGTTGGTCTTTCCCCTTCCATAATTGGATCTTTCTCCAGGAAGGAAGCAGCTCTGGTTGAGGTGCATTTCCTCCTCTATCTTGTTCTTATGACATCTCGATCATTTTCACTGTCTTTCCAACTCTGTCATAATTTTTCTTCTTTTAAGTGATTGTTAGTATTTATCGATAATTGGAGTTGGAGTAGAGTAAGAGAGTAGTTATTTACTGTATGATTGTGGTGACTATTTTGAACTGTTTGTCTACTGTGAGGGATGAAGGTGTTTGTTAAACCTTCTTTATGTGCAGTCATTTATGCTATTCTATGATATGGATGATCTGTGTTTCCTTTAGGAGGTTTGGTATGAGACAAATTTTTTTAATGTTCGGAAATCATAATTCTTAGAAATTATGAAAATCTGTTTAGTTGGTCATAAATGTTAATATTTTTCAATGTTACTTGAGAATCAGAATTTTTTCTGTATTAAATAAGTAAATAAAGGTAACATAATGTTTTTATCAAATTAAAACTCTATTTTTATCACGGGAAATTTAGTTTCTCACCTCCTATGGGAATAATTTTGTGGGAAAGCTATAAAAATTATTCCCAATAATGTTTCCTAAAAATGTTATTTTTTAAATAACAAACAAATTGTGGAAAACTAAAATTTCTGACGTTAGATTCTCGGGAAAACAAAAACTTTCTATGTACCAAAAACCGTATCTTAAGGAAAATGATCCATGAACACTCAATTGGTAGTACACACCTAGAAAGAAAAAGGGAGAGAAGTGTACATATAATAGATAATATGACGTGACAAGCAAAGAGAGAAATGGAGTGGGTGTTTGGCAGTATGTCTTGGACGCATGTATTCCTTAATCTTTCAAGTCAATTTCTAAAATTGATGCTGAAGCTAAACCTAGTTCCTTCTAAAAATTAACGTCATGTTGTATTCAAAATGGTTTTCTAACATGTTGGGAGAGTGTCAAATAGGTTTTTGCACTATTAGAGTATACTACTCTTTGCTTAGTAACTAGAGTTTGTTAAAAGAGGACTACGGCTGTTGGTGTTATCTTATGTCAGGTAGAATGCTCTATGGTACTGTTTGTCAGTTGTTTCACACGTTCTATATTATGACGTAATTGCTAACAATTTATACTGTATTTCAATCATATTTTGAGTTGGCAAGCCATCCTCTCTCTAATGGAAGAAGAAAAATGTCTCACCAAAAGAAAGGATGAATTGAATCAAAGAAGAAAGATGTTTTCTGTTTTTAAATATGAAATAAGTGACTCATAACAGTTACTAAGTTAGACATCTCTTTTCTGTCTTGCATTTGTGTGTGCACGCCCGATCACCCGTATTCTCACTGGCATCCTATTATTATATGATCTCACCATTGACAAGCTACAATTTCAAGAGGTGTCAATGGTGTTTATCCGTGTTTTTGGGTTGCTTTATTCTATTATTAGTTTCTACATGAATTCTGATACAAACCTGACCTAGAATGTAGGCAAAGAAGATATAGAAGGGAACTGTATTGAACTCAAATGGAAACAATACATCAAATTTAAAACAAATTGGATAACAAATAAGAAAGATAGTACGGAACACAAGAAGTAGCAGATGAAAGCTAACTTCCTGCTCCAAGCCCAGGGCCAATTTCCATAAGAAGAATTTTCTCTCTTCAACCCCCCAAGTCACGCCATACCCCTCTTAATAACCACGTCTTTCCACCTTTTCTCCTAGGCCACATGCTATTTTCACCGAGTATTACTGTCTGTCCCTTAGTTTCCTCCACATGTGACATGTCCCACTCTTTTTTCTCCCCTAGAATCTACCTTCCATATCTTGGGGCCATGGCTTAACTGCTGCAATATTGGATCATTAGCATCAGTCACAGTATTGGACTCTGGGGTCTCAGTAAATTGTCTTCCTCTTTTATATTATCTATTATAATTAAGTACAATCAGTTTAATGGATTGCATAATTTTGAATATTATTGGCTTTTGTTTGTGCTTATTAGTTTATATGAATTGACCTTTTTTTTTGTTATGTCATTCAGTATTTCATGGATGACTGCTTACAGAGACTCGTTGATAAAATTGACTCAGACGAGAGTTTAAAAAATTTGACACCAAGTGACTGTATTACTAAGCTTATCAGATTTCGTTTAGAAATGCAAGTTCCATATATATCAACATGGCCTGAAGCTCTTGGCATCCAGGTCTCTGCGGATGTCCTTTTTCCTTGTTAAAGGTTTAGTTTTCTGAATTGTAAACCTGACAGAGTTTCTGGGAAATAATTTCTTTACAGGCACAGCCTGTAAATGTTCCTACAAGTTTTAAGCAGAGGGCAGTGCTTGTGGATGAGATCTGGCATGCTGCTGGTGATAATGCCTCTGACATTGATTGGTATGCCAAGCGCACTATCCTCGGAGGAATATACTCAACAACTGAGATTTATATGCTGTCAGATAAATCTCCTGGTTTGTTTTTCTTCCCTTTCCCTTTAAGACACAATCATTCTTAGAATTTGCTTGATTCGGTTTCATCCATTCATTTTCTTATGTTTTTGTGCACTTCTTTTTATGACAAACTTTCGTTTGTGGTCAACTTCTGGTTCTATGATTGTAGTGACTATTTAATCATTCATTCTTTTCATCGTGTTTTCTTTTGTGAGGGCTTTGAAAATATTGTCTGGATTCAATTTTCTGTTCTCTTTATTTTTATTTTCTCGAATCAAGACTGTCCTGTTTGCTTACACGACAATATATATAATGATTAATTTGATGAAGTAAGAGTTGGGAAAAAAATGGAATTTTATTTCCCATCCCATGCTGCTTATGGCTTTATGCGGGAAAGCTGTGACTTGTGAGGACTCTCTCAATTCTTCTGTGGATGGTTTTCTGGCAGATTTCCGCGATACAGGGGCTTTCTTGGATGCTCGAGTGAGAGATGCCTTTGATTTAAAGAAAACCTTTCAAGAGGTAATTCTTATTTTGTTACTGTTGTTGGTCCCTAAAGTTTTTCAAATTTCAACTATTTCAAAACATCATGCTCGGTTTCCAGAATTCTCACTCATCATAATTTTCAGGCACAGTATTTGGCAGAAGCTGTTGGTACCGGCCTGGCAGAAGCTGTCGGGAAAGTTTTCCGGAGATGAGTCGTGGTGGGAAGATTTGCTGGTGGCAGGCACTTGTCTCTTGGTTTTATGTTGTGTTGCAACTTTCAAACAATGTTTCTTCGAGACATTGATTTGTTACATGTAGTGATTTAGTTACATTTCATTTTACTTCAAATTAGTTATCTTCCATTTACTTCAAATTTAGTCCGTTTTGGGCGGCTTGAGTTGCAGGGTCATGAGTGCAGAATGATGTTAAACTTGTAAATAATTCCATTATCATTTCATAATACAAAGAATTTGCTCTTTTTCCTCTCACCAAAGAACTTTCTTCATATGTCTCTTATATATGTAATGGAAAAAAATGCATAGACACCTAAAGTTGGGTTTGATGGAGGTGGAGGTGATGTAGGGTGGAAGAGAGGAGAAATTTGCAGAAATTAATGTTTTCTGCAGTTGGGGTAGGCGAGAATAATAGACGAAATGCAAAGATGTGGGCTCTATACCGAAACAAATTTTTTTTTTCTTCTATTTTTTTGTTAAAACTAAATAATCAGTGTTGATGGAGAGTATATGATATGCGAAGATCTTTTCAAAAGTGATGCAGAAATAAATATTTTCAATGAATTATTGATTATACACCTGGTTTATTCATGTATTAAAATGATGCAGGGTTTGCTTTTAGGTTTATTGGTTGACTTTATGTTACGAATGGAATAACGGTCTCTCACAGCATTTGCTGGTAATAGTAGCCAGTTTTGTATATAGCAAGCAATAATGGAATCAGGTAAGAAGTTTAGGAATAGAATGATTATTTAATTGCAGTAAAGAGAGGGTTGGTAGATGATAATGTTGACTATTCCATCTTCACCTACCGTTATCCTGTCCCTCCGGAGGCACCCGCAACGTTTAGAAAGATAATTGGTAAATACATTTTAGGAAAAATAAAACGTTGTTGTTAAAAAAAATAAAGAATAGACTAAAAGAATAATTTATAATTTTGAAGTAGTATAAATATTATTGCGTAGAGGCGTTGGAAATGAAAATAAGAGAAGGAAAGGAAGGAAGAAGAAGATGAGTTTGAGGGCATCAGAGGTAGCGAAGAAGTTGAATCTGGAGCCTCACCCCGAAGGTGGGTTCTACGTGGAGACATTCCGAGATCATTCCATCAATCTTTCGACTTCTCAGCTCCCCCCCGAATGTAAGTGAGTTGTTTGTTTGGTTTTTTTGTGTTTTGTGATTTGAGTAACTGATGAAGGGCCACACAACACAACAGACAAAGTGGATCGCCCTGTGTCTACCTCCATATATTTTCTGGTTCCGTCTGGGAGCGTGTCTCGCCTCCATCGCATACCCTGTTCCGAAACCTGGCATCATTACATCGGCGACCCTCTCACCGTATGCCTCTCCTCTCCTCTCCTCTCCTCTCTTTTTTAACCTAATATGTCCCTGACCTTGATAACCCCTCAGGTTGTGGAATTGAATGAGAAAGATGGGAGTGTGAAGTTCACTTGTCTTGGATCCGATCTGAGTGAGAATGAGGTGCCACAGTACACGGTTCCTCCCAACGTCTGGTTTGGTTCATTTCCTACCAAGGACTTTACCTTCTCTGTGGATGGGGTGTTCCAAAAAGGTGCTCCTAGAGACAGCGAGAGGAACTACTCTCTTGTAGGATGCACCTGTGCACCTGCCTTTCAGTACCAGGACTTTGAGCTGGCCAAACCCTCCTACCTCCTCGCTCGCTTCCCCCATTTGGACCCTCTCGTCACTGCTCTCACATTCCCCGAGTAATCTATCTCTACTGCTTTTCAGAACACAATAATCAACATCTACACGCCTTTCTACTTGTCTTTCTTGCCTTATCAATTTCACCTTTTCTTATCTTCCTACTTCCTACTATCCATAGGGAGACTAGTACTAAACCTTGCCAACTATAACTGCTTATGCTTATAGTTCACGTCCTTAAATTAATTTGGTTGATTCTTCACTAACTTAATCTGTAGGACGTACATTCTTTTTTCTTCCACTAAATAAAAATTTAGAGGAAGGGGATGATGTCTCAGTTTGAGGCAGAGAAACTCCCTAAACTCAAACAACACTTACAATCTATCAAATGAATGCAGACTCGAACCTGCGACCTATCAAATGCGAGGCTCTGTTATTTTCTAGTCGACCAATCTTTTAGGATTAGTATGTAGGATGTAGAAATATAGTTTTTAAGTATATTCATTACCATTTGATATCGTCTTATGTGAATGACAAATATTTTATTGGCAGAAATCATACTCATTTTGTTTCATCTACTTGTCTATTATTCATTTATAGAGTAAAGGAAATGTAGCATGTTTCAGAAGGAATGATACCCCTCGCTCGACCTTAGTATTAGGAAAAAAGGTGTAAAGTTATAACTCTTGATTAAAAGATTAAGAAAGTATTAACATGCATGGTGATTCGAATGAGACAGTTTAAATATCTTAACATTTTAAGTTTGAGTATTACTAAAAATATAGCAAGTTCTTGAGTGAAAATTGGTCATCAGTAAAATCACTGTATACTTCTTAATAATAACATGATGAAAATAAATTGAAGTAAATCTTAACAAATTCGTAATTTATTATATTTCATCACAATATGAGCCATTATTTTTCTAATCATGCTGCCAGAAATTGGTTATGGATCTTTTTTTCCGATACTCCTCCAATTTGTGACCTTTCCATGTTTCCATACATCCGAAGTTGAACTTCCATGCTACTTGAGATATTAACTAAAATGCACAAGGTTCTGCATGATTCAGACTGAGAGTAATTGATGAGATGAAGACAGTTATATATCCAAAATGATATATAGCCAGAAAATAGATTTGGTAATCAAATATATTAAATATAAAAGACTATCTTGTATGAAAACTATATAAAAAAATAATGTTTATTAAATTTTGTAATGTATATGTTAAAATCTTAAGCAGTCATGGTTATTTAGGGATTGAGTTATCTATAACTTATAACAATATATAAAAAAGATTCATGATTTCTGTGTACACAAATTTTAAAATATTTTTACCCTTTATTTATTATAATAACTACAATTTTTTAGTGGATGATAAAGTAATTTTACTTAATTAATTTAAATAAAAATTATTAATTTTCAAAAATAAATACGATATAACCACTTTATAATTTCCATATCTCACAAGTTCACAACACTAACTCGACACGTTTATAAGAATGTGGCTACTGTGTTATGTACATCAGACATGTTTGAGCTCAGAAAGTAGGTTACACAACAGCGGTTGGTTAGTAAGGGACATAGCACGGAAGCTTTGGGCTGCAATACTTCTAACAATTTTATGTACTTGCGTTTAAATTTTTAAAATTAATCTCAATTTTAACTACATAAACGATTTAAGCAGAATTTGTGAAAAATATTTTTGCTTTATATATATATATAAGTATAAAAATATCATAACAGTTTTTTGTTTTCTTTTTTAAATGTTTATACAATAAAGACAAAAAAAAATATTTTCTAATTAAAATCCAAGATATGATGATATAAAGACTTCATAAATTGTAAATATATACCAAACAATATCATATACATATGCAAAGTTAATTACATTAATTAACCTCAAGTCTCGAGTATATAATTATTTTGTCGAAATGAAGAATTATTTTGACACTTGTAATGGGTCAACTAGTTTAAATAAGATTATCTTTTATAAAGTATATACTTGTTGAGTAAAAATATTTAATTATACTTTTAATTTTTATATAATTTTCAATTTACGATTTTGATTTTCTTTTTTTACTTGCACATATTTAATCCTCTAACCTTTTAAATTAAGATTAATTTTAAAAATTGAGGCGGTATAATAAAAGGTGAGCTTGAAAAGTTGTTTTTTAAATTAACTTAAATTCACTTTGGATCCTTGCACATGGGAATAGATCCCTCTACTCTTACATTCAATGTACTTAATCACTACACACTACTAAATTTTTTTAATATAAAAAATGAAAATTCAGTGCTACTGAATAAATTTTTTAAATAATAATAATAATTATTATTATTAAATTAACATAAATAATAGTATTTGTTTTATTTGCATATTAATAGATAAATTAATATATAAATATATTACAACAAGATTAAGTAAAAACATATAAGTATTGGATATGTCGCATATTTTAGTAACTAAAACCTATATTTATATTATATATTGTATAAATTAATGTTTAAGAAATTTATAACAAAAATTACTAAAATGTCCTAATTATAAGTAATGTAGTTTTAACTACCAATGATTTCAGATTTTGTTGGAAGTGTTTTTTTAATTCGTGGCTATTGTTTTTTTATTTTAATTTTGGGTTCTTATCCCAAGAGGTCGAGTTGTGGATATTTTTAATATGTGGATGTGTGACACCTAAACATATCTCTTACATGTCATTTGAATAGTTGTGATTACTTTTTATATGTAATTTGTTGATGAAAAAATATTCTCATTCTAAACATATCTTATGCATGTTATATGAATAATTGTAGTTAATATTTTTCATAATAATTGTTCGTATGAGATGTAAGGAGTATGTTTAAATGTCATCCCATCCACTCAAATGAACTATCTACAACTTTATATTTCATGCTTCAAGAACCCAAATGAAAAATCTAGTAACTAAAAATTGAAAACACCAATAGTAGAACTTGAAATTAACTACTACCTTCGTTCTTGGGCTCAATTTAGAACAATTATTTGTTCTTTTATATAAGAGTCAATTGACTCAATTCATAATGTTTGATGTATTAATTATTTTTTTATATAATAATTCTCCTAATTAAAGCATGTTTTCTTAATTAATTAAAACACATTAAATGTACACTCTTTAAAAGACATGCATTCTAATTGGCTAGAAGAGTAAACAATTTTAATTATGAGAGAAAAATAGTATAGGACATACACTCTAATTGTTGTGAACTAGAATAAATACTTTTCTTAATCTTTGTGAATCAGATATTTGGATCTTGTATATAGGAATTGAGATAGTAGAAATTAAAATTACATTATGTTGTAATTAAGACACCTTAGTAATTTTTGTCCAAAATTTCTATGTCCTTGATGTATATAGCTTTGTCTTTTTTTTTTTTTTTTTTGCATGTATAATAAAGTGATATTTGAAGAAGACGTTCTACTCTTACTCATTGAACTTTCTTCTTCTCTTGATGTAAAATGACCTTTGTCCATGTTGATCACAACTCAAACCTTTTATAGATTCAAATTATTAGCAACTTTGACTCCAACAATGATCCTTGTCACGGGAAATGAACAATTGAAAGTCAACAATGGTCATCATAATACCGATTTTAAAACCAAGTATAAAGTCGTTGTAGTTAGATGATGAAACTCAATATAAGGTATTCAACAAATAAAAATTTCGCATTGAAAATGTCACTTCAAAGTACTCTTTTTCATGTTGTAACACCGTGAGTTTAAATATTTTAATTTTACTATATGATTAAATATTATTATATTGTTATGATTGTTGTTTTAAAACTCAGAGTCAAGGGACTTTGAGAATTAGAATACCTCTGACAATATCCCTTGTATACTTAAGTTGGTTCAGTCTCAAGAAGGATATATAAAGTTTTTCTTAAGATGTGAATCTCATATATTCATGTTTTAAGAGATTTTAGAGAGAAATTAGAAAGTATGATTTAAAACTATAAAAATAAAACTATGGTCATGTCCAATTTGAGAAGGATTATCATTCATAAAAGATATGATTTTAAAAAATATTAACCGTTCAATGGGGCAACTCATTTTTGTCCCGGTCCTTTTATTGAATTTGTTGACGTCTTCAACTTTAAAACAATGATAAAATTATGAGATACCAATTAAGGGTGGTAAAGTGAATCAATGAGTTTTTTTTTTCTTTTTGTCTTGATCCTTTTATTAAGTTTATTTATGTACTTTGAAAGAGTGATGAAATTATGAAATGCTGATTAGAGTAGTAAAGTGAACCAATTTGTCCACTTTTGGCCCATTCCACCTAACTCCTAGAAATAAAGTGAGGTGGACTGATAGTGTTAGTGAATTAAAAATCATAGTTTGTCAAAAATAAAAAAAAACCAAGACTTTTATTTTAATACCAAGTTAAAATTTGATAAATTTAGATAAATAATTTAAAATAAATTAATACTTTATTACAATTAACCTATTTTTTTATCTCTTTATTTAGAAAAATTTTAACTATATTTTGAAACTTAAAATTTTAATATATTACATTTAAGGTTTCCTTTCCAATGTTACTAAATTTTACGCACACATATAACAAACATTTTTTTAATAATAACTGGTTATACATTAATATGCAACGCTTAAATTCAAAATACATTATATATTTATAAATAAAAATAAATGTTGTTGGTCAAGTCAACCTTTTTTGTTAAAAATTTGTCAAACTAACAAGATAAGTCGGAAGGCTAGACCTTCTATCTCCTCCCACTTATTTTGACTTAGGCGGATTAGGTTAAATTGACTTAAAAATTTTGAAGCTAGGTTAATTCATAAGGATCATTAAAACAATTCTTTGGGTTTTAAATTTTTTAATTTTGATATAATCATATTAGTTGAAGTTAAGCCTTTTTTTTTTTTACACAAAATAAGCATATTTTTTAAAATTTGAGACAATCATAATTTTAAATTAAAAGGAATAAAAACATTTTATTATCAAAGATTAAAATATTTTTAATCAATAAAAATATTATAATAATTGTAACAATATTCGTAATTAAGATTTTATGTATATTATTTAAATTCTATTCCTCGAGGAACCCCAAATTTTTCACTAAATAATAAAGTTTCTCATGCTACATAGAGAACCAAAATGCTAAATAATATGGATTTTTTTTTTTCTATGAAAAGGTATGAAATCATAAATCAACTCCCATGATTTCTTTTCTTATTTTTTTTGACAAATTATTTTCTTTTATAATTCAAATTTTGCACTAATAAAAAAAGAAACTACAGCAGTTTCGTACTACATTTCGTAAAAGAAATCGAAACATTTAGCACGCCTCTAGAAGAACCGGTACAAAATCTCTAATAATTTATTTACGAAGAACATGGGATACGAATTCTACTGCCCAAATTGAACATGGGGTTGATTTTCGTCACTTTTCCTAATTTAATTTATTTTTTAAGTTAAATAATTATCTAATTGTAAAAAAGACAAGCATGATTCGTGCATAATTTGACGAACCACATAGCAATATTATTGGCCATTGCTAGTTAGTTCTCTGGTTTACGTGTCATCTTACTAAAATAGTATAATCTTATTAATAAATATATATTTTTTTAATTATGATGATTAAATAATTTGTAAAATAATAAATAAAAATATCATTTATTTTAAATTTTTTAAAAAATCAAAATTATAGTTAATTTAGAAGAGAGTATATATATCTAAATCTAATTAGAACAATGATGATAGAAAGGACTTAAAATTGAACCTAACTTCTCTTAGTGTAGATGAGATGTATGGTGTATAATCTCATTGAAAATTCTAAAAAAAGTTGATAAATATATCTGATTTTTCACAAGGTAGGTGATGATTTATCTTAATCTAAACTTATATATATATATATATATATATATAAAAGTTG